CCTCCTCTTCAGCACATCTGCCAGCAGCTGCCTACAAAAAGCTTCAGTCTCAGGAAGTCAGCCAAAAACCACTGGCAAATGTTTGCTCATTTTCACTGTTCAATGTGGGGATCCATGCTTGTTCTGACTCAGCGTGTCACTAAACAGGAAACCTCAAAACCAAAGGAGTCAAACACTTTTTCACACCACTGAACAGTAAGACTGACAAAGAAACAGCTTCAGTAACCAGAATTCTGATCTCTGCATCAGTGTGAGTCTTCCCGTTGTTACTAACCTCTCTTAATTGTTCCTAATAACATCAGCTAGAAAAAAAATCTTTATTTGGAATTGCATTCTGCTGTTTTAAATCTGCTAGATGTGCAGTTAGTGTTACAACTCTTACAAACTCACATCCAAAATCTTCACAACCAAAACAAAATGTAAACCAATGTTAAAAAGGAACTTTGACTTTTCCAGCTTGAGGGCTTTCATATGATGATTTTAGCTCTGCGAATCATGTTTATCTTGCTGTCGGCTTCACAGATTCTCATCGTGGATGCAAGAAAAAAAGAAAACAAGTTAAAAAAGTAAAGTTGAAAAAAGAAAAAAGTTACTGAATGTCATGGTAATTTTGGGCTTTAAATAATTTATTTGAAGTCTCCTTTTTCCTGGGTAAAATGATTTTACAGCATACATCTTTAACATATAAAAAGCTGCTTCTTCACAAGGGGTCACCACACAGCATAGCTCCACATGTTTGACTTGGCAGATTTTTGCTTTTGCTGACACAAATCCAAAGGGAAATAATGTCTCCTCCCAGGATCAAACTGAGGATCTTTTGCTTGTTCGGTGACTGTGGAAACCACTACACTTTCCTCTAATCCACACAGGGTCAAATGTATACATACACTTAAATCTTTTAGTCGGTGCTGCTGATGGTTCTACGGTGTCTCTTAACTTGCCAAAGCTAAGACCTCCTTAGTGATCAGGATTGACTAGTAAAGTGAAAATTGTTAGATCTCCAAAGTCAGTTCAGCCTATGAGGCTATCAGGTGTCTACAGACATTTTATTAAAAATTCAAATCTTTAAACACAGTGATGTTGATAAACTCCAGCCTAATCTTAACTGACTATACAGTCAGTGCAGATACAAAGTTGTGTTAACCAAATGTTTTCAACCATAAAGCCACTATTAACATCATCAAACCAGACTATTTGTAGTTTGAAGAAAAAGTAATGATACTTTTACTTTTTCAGATTTTATTTTCTTACAAAAGAAAGATATGTCAGGTCTGACACAGTTACATTAAAAACTGGATTTATTTAAACAAACAAAACTGAAGCTAA